CAACACACCCCCCACTGATTTTAGCAATGTTTCAGAGATTACGCACGCTTGGCTGAATCATCATTTTTCGATTTCATCACACCTTTGTTGATTCATTTCACTTTTTTCGATCATGGGGGGGCTGCCGCCCCCCCCACACCCCTTTGCTGATTTGTATCAATGTTACAGGAGCTTAGCGCACCTTGTTGAATCAATCTTCCGAACATCACGTGTGGCTTGGATGGCCCCCCCCCCCCAACCGCCCCGCTGATTCAATGCTGCGCCTGCGTCACCGTACCTTGCGAAAGTGCTGCGCCTGCTGCGAACTTGGTACCTCTTGTGAAAGTGCTGCCCCTGCCGCAAAATCTGGATCGCACCTTGCGAAAGCTGCACCTGCCGCGAATGTGTACCTGACCTTGCGAAAGTGCTGCGCCTGCCGCGAAATCTGGACTGCACCTTGCGAAAGTATTGCACCGGCCGCGAATCTGTACTCACCTTGCTAAAGTGCTGCGCCTGCTGCGAAGTCTGTACCTGCCCTTCCTCACCCCGCTGATTTGTAGAAGGTTGACAGTGAGTAACGCACCCTTTGCTGAATCATCACTTCTTCGAGCATCATCACGTTGAATCATCACTTCTTCGAGCATCATGGGGGCGGCAGCCCCCCCAACCCCCCCGCTGATTTGCAGAATGTTTACAGAGATTACCGCGCCCTTTGCTGAATCATCACTCTACGGGGTTTGTGACCCATAGATCCCGCCTGTTATTTCTAAGGAGCACCCCAGATGTCCATTGCTTAAGAGCCTAAGCGCACCCTGTACGAATCATCACTTCTTCGAACATCATGGGGGGGGCTGCCACCCCCCCCACCCCCCTGCTGATTTTCAATGCTGCGCCTGCGTCAAACTCTGCACCGTACTTTGCGAAAGTGCTGCGCTTACCGCGAAATTGGTACCTCTTGCGAACGTGCTGCCCCTGCCGCAAAATCTGGATCGCACCTTGCGAAAGCTGCACCTGCCGCGAATCGGTACCTGACCTTGCGAAAGTGCTGCGCCTGCTGGGGGGGGGCTGCCCCCCCCCCCAACCCCCCGCTGATTTTCAAGATTACCGCACCCTTTGCTGAACTTCTTGATCATCACCACCCTTTGTTGAATCATCACTTCTTCGAACATCATGGGGGGGGGCTGCCGCCCCCCCCCCAACCCCCCTGCTGATTTGTACAATGCTTACAGAGCTTAGCGCACCCCTTGTTGAATCATCACTTCCTCGAACATCACGGGGGGGGCTGCCGCCCCCCCCAACCCCCCCGCTGATTTAACGCTGCGCCTGCGTCAAACTCTGCACCGTACCTTGCGAAAGTGCTGCCCCTGCCGCGAAATCTGGATCTCACCTTGCGAAAACTGCACCTGCCGCAAATCTGTCCCTGACCTTGCAAAAGTGCTGCGCCTGCTGCGAAATCTGTCTGACCTTGCGAAAGTGCTGCGCCTGCCGCGAAATCTGTACCGCACCTTGCGAAAGCGCTGCGCCTGCCGCGAAATTTGTACCTGACCTGCGAAAGCATTGCGCATACCTTGCGAAAGTGCCGCGCGTGCCACGAAATCTGTACCTGACCTTGCGAAAGTGTTTCGCCTGCCACGAAATGAATAAGTTGTTTTTTGATGCCTATAAAGTTTTTTTGATCCTCTGATTTTCATGTTTAATAGTAAATCAATGAGAATAAGTTTTTTGTTGATCCCTAATAAGTTTTTTTGATCTTTAGAAATAAGTTTTTTTTGATGCCTTTTTTTTAATCCCTCACCCATCTTTGATTCATACCCCCATGAAAGTAGATCGCTCGATTCTTGGAGCTGGCATCTCATTCGCGGGAACAAGCCAAAGGCAGCCAAAGGCGCATTTCGAGCGCTCATATGGAGCTCCCAAAATGCTGGACCCTATTGGGGCGGTGTTAAAGGAAGCCAAAAGACGCAACCCATTTTGGGGTTCCCAATGTTGAGACACACCAATATTGGCTATGCTTTTTTAGATGCCCTTTTGGAGTAAGTTCAACAGGGACACCAAAGTGGGTGAAACCAATGTTGAAATAAAAAGTGTTTGTCATAGACCTGCACATCAATGGACGAGAGTTTCGCAAAATACGGGAACACCAAAATGTGTTGTTTCCTTCAGGCTTCTCTGCCAAACCACCCCGAAAGGAGTCCACCATTTTGAGAAACCCCCAGTTGCCTGATGTATGCCTGATGTGACTCAAGGAATCTTGATCGAGCCCTGTGCACTTGTCTTTTTGTCGAGAATATCGGGTGCATACCGCCCCTCTCCCGAAGGCTGCAATGGAAACCTGCAGCCTACCATGGCCTGAAAAAGGGCATAGGCTTGCCAATGTCTTTCAACCTTATCCATAGACTTGGCTCATCCCCGCAACTGTCTATTGGCCCTTTGGCAGCACCAGGCTTTCCTTGCCTGAGAAGACTTGACCCTTTGTGGTCCGCCCTTGCACTTTTTGAGGGTTGAAACACCGGTGTGGCACAATGTAAAAACCTGGTGGTTTCCCCAACAAAAAAGCAACCCAACCAGGGAGAACGAAAAAATCGGCGCCCACATTTTCGCATGAGACGTAAATCTGAGAGTCTGTTGGAACAGGGACCCGTGCCTTTCTTCATAAGAGGTCTCTCAATCCAGTGATTCGACTTGGCTGAGAGGAAAGTGGCTGGCTGCCAGGCTTGTGGCTTCCCACGAGGGTCTAAGCCTCACGTCAAATGCCAACAAACCCACCTATGACTTATCCGGCGAATGGAACCCCTGCGAAACCCTCCAAGCTGGTTGGTGCCCATTGTAAATAAATGATGTCCAGAGGGTCCCCCAGAAAAAAAAAACTCACACCCAAATGTTCCAAACCCAAACTTTGGACGCATCCGTCTCTCATCTTGAATGGCTCTGAGGTACGGGGACTTCGAAAACGCGGGCCTGTTCACCACCTACTGCCCGGAGGGCAGGGAGCATGAGGACCGATCTTGAGGGACTTACTCGATGCCCAGCCATACGTTTCCTGAGACAAAGAAGCTCAAGGTTTAGAGTTGAATTTACAACATATTTGACTCGGAGTTTATCTTGTAGCGAGGGATCAACGAACCATCAAGACTCCAAGCTGAACTTTTGGCGCTAGGAAGACTTGCGCTATCATAAACTCCTTTTCAGAATTTCACACGGACCCTAAGGCTTTGAGAAAAGATGGGGACTTCACTTCTTTGAGTTAACAGGTTTGGACACTTTCCGGGCTGAAACTGCCCCCTTTGGCCTTCCCTTTGGGCTTGGAAGTTGAGGGTCCGGGGCATTAGATGAGCAGGGGCGCCCCGTTCATTTTTTTTTGGGCGATGTCCCAAATGGTCGATGTCCTTTTGGTTTCCCTTCACCGGCCAAAAAGGGGTTGCCAACAAAAGACACAACCATATAACCCTTTACGACCAATTTGGCAGAGCCATTTTGATCAGCCCGGGCGTTGGGCACGTGGCGGGTCTGATGAGCAGGTCCCCAGTAAAAGAAAAAAAAAGCGTTGCCCCGGAAGATGTGAGCCACATGCTCAAGACCCTCTGGTAGATGAAGGTTAGTAAGGGACAATCCCAGCCAGAAATAGTTGCGGATCTCCGCCTTATTTTTTGAAGCATGGTTCTGGGTCAACCATTTTAGTACCGGGTTTTGACTATGACTCATGTGAGTCATTTAATATTCAGTGAAAAACAGGTTTCACGTAGCTATTGCGATGGCATTTGACACTTGCAGATTCACCAAAGAAAGACACTAATCTAAAACATATTGCTGGGTGAACTCATGCAGTCCTCTTGTAGGTAAAGGCCATGACCAAACCAAAACGGGCTGGAATTGTGCCATCTAGTTTTTAGCATTTGTACCCTCAGATGCTATGCCAGTGGAGCAAATAGATCAGTTCTCCCCATTTACCCGCCGTTTCGGGTTGAGTTGTTGGGGGAAACTGTTGGTTATCGCTCCGACTAGTCAAGCGCAGGTTCAGGTATGGAGTATGTTACGCCACAAACACAGAGGGTATATACCACCTAACATCCCTACCTTCACCTCAAACGTCTCATGACCTTGAACGATGGAGATGTTTGATTGCATGAGCCATTGGTGGCTGGTTTGACCTCTGGACTTTCCAAGGGAAAGCCATGATCAAAGTATTTCCTGGGTTTCCTTTGGGTCCCCCGCATCCGGGCTCATCCTATTTGAGGGCACCGGTCTTTTGGGTTTCAATCGGAAACTGGGATGAACATGCATGATTTCCTTTTGGTTTACCTGTGAAGCCAACCCAAAGCACCCTCAAACCCTCAAAGCAGAACAAAGCCCTTTCGGAAACCAGGTCCATTCGGAACTCAATGGAATCGGGGGCAGTGCGAGGTGTGAGGCTCGGAACAAGAAGCTGGATTTGTCCATCCTTTTTTTCTTCTTCCGGGGGCACACTCAATTTCACCCAGGCGACGAGCCCACAATTTCAATTAGAGTAACACATGTCTCAGTCTGCAGGAGAGTCACCGCTGCTATGTTTTGAGGGTACCCTTCTGAGGTGGGTGCAAAGGGAAGAAAAGGAGCACGGCCCCCTATTTTGACGCATGCCCCTATGTTGACCGTGGCTTCTCTAGGGCCTCTACTCCGTGCTCGCGGCACTGGCAATGATGCTCTACTGTGTGCTGCTGACTGACTTCTGCATCGCCCCTTGAATGAAGGGCTTAGAGTGGGGTTGTGGGTCGGGGCCTAAGTCTTTAAGTATTTAGAATAGGGTTGTGGGGTATGTCAAAACCAAATCAAGTCAAATCATGAGAGAACCATGCTATTTTTTTAGCATCCACCTCGCAGTTGTTGGGCATGATGTCAACCAAAGCTAGAAATCACGCGCATGACTCCTGGCCGCACTTGCGCAATTAGTTCATACAATATACATACTAAGTTTTGTGTTTTATTTGTTTTACAAAAAGGTAAAAGAGTGGCAAATCCGCCTCATGTTTTTTCCATAACCTTTG